GCGCCTATATTTCACTTGGAGTTCTTTGGCGAAGACAGGCCAAGAGAGAGAGAGAGAGGGAAAAAGAGAATGATTCTAGAGAGGAAGAGATAGGAAGAGACAGGACGGACATAGCGGAAGGAAGTAGCTGTCCAAGCAGCTTTGTTTCCCTTGCAAGAGATTGCCCCAGTTTGGAATAGAATGGGTACCGAGCTGTGCTTTGCCAATCTCTTCAACCCTTCTGTTGGTTACTGTAAGCCGATTAAAAGGGCAGCAAAGGACAGCTACGTATGTGGAGAAGTGCGAGGTTTCTGATTCATGTTCACCACAGTATAAGGAAGCGGCATGAGGGATTGAACGTGCAGTTGTCCAGGTGCTTAGACGCATTGCATCCAGCCTAGTGTTCAGTTATCCTGTGTTTTGTGTTCCGTTTTGAGGACAGAAGACACATGAAAACACAACAGGTCGATGTTGCTTCCTGAGGCAACCACATTCTTCAAAGTGGTTTTGGTTCCAACATGTTCCAACACCTTTGGCCTGCGAAAGCCATGTATAAGAGAGAACCACGACCACGCGCTACCTTTCGCATCCATCGGCGACATGAGGTTCGCATTTGACGAGTGGCTGGATCGGCCGGTCGCCAGCTTGCTGGAGCGTGCTGGCGGACCTCGCACGATTGGTCTGCATGCCTGGTACCGTCACTCGAATGAGGATGCTTGGTCCTCTTTCAAGGTGCAGACCTGAGCACCTGTTCGATGAACGACACCCAGAATATACTGTATAAATCTGTATAATTTATATGCATAATATTATATATATAACTGTTCAAGTCCCAAAAAACAAAACCATCACTATGTGGTTGAACTTATCCTGGACAATGATTCGATGCTTGGCCTTGGTTGAATGTGTTTCTGACCCAAAACCACCCACCTGCCCACCTGCCCAGCATGCCGTTGTGCTAGGTCCTGGTTTTGCACCGTGGCACCCGTGCCAACAACTGGACTCTAGGGGCACGTGATCTCAGTTGGCCATTGCAGGCGTTGGCGCGCACAGATAACAGCACTGTCGCTGTTCATGTTTATAAAGCTGCTGACAACCTTGACAGGCTGTACCACGCTTGGCGGAGGCTGGATTGAACATGCGGGGAGGCAGAGGTTTCCATGTCACCTTTGACAGCTCGCCCGGACGATTTGCGGGAGGCGGTCGGAGGTGATAAGGCAAGAAGGTGTGGTATGAGAAAGAGAGGGACTTGAAGCAGGACAGGATATTCAAGATGAATATGCCAGACAGAGAAGCAGAGACGAAACGGATACGTTTAATCGGAAAATACGTGAAGCATAGAGCAGGTTGGCATGAACAGTTTGCTGCAGTTGTCCATCTTGAATGGAGATGACAATGCCTAGAGATCTTTGCATTAAACTGACCGGGACAGAGTGGATTAGACCTACCTATATAGTCAGCTTAGTGAGCGATTCGCGATGTGCTGGATGTGTAAGAGAATTGAACTTATATATACAGGAAGAGAAAAGTGCACCTGTGCTCAAAGAGATGTCCAACTCCTCAGGCTCCGTTTCCTTGCTGGAAACATGATGCTCAGATGCAACTACTGTGTTGGTCAGATTTGGCTTTTAATTTCCAACAGTTTGTGCAGTGTTTGCTGATAGATTTTGGAACACATGTGTCCCAAAAAGCAAGGACAACGACAACAACAGCGGCAATAGCCACTGCCGCCGCCACCACCACCACCACAACAACAGAAACTGAATATGGGCAATGTAGCCAACAGGAGTGAACCTCTCTGGTAAACCTTCAGCATACAAGGTGGCAATTTTGCTCTTGAATGCAACGAGGAGGACTTCATTGCATTCCTGAAGGAAAGATCTAATTTGGAGGTTGTGTGAAATTCATTGACCCCGTGTTGCAAGACTGCAAGACGCGCCCGCGTCACTACCAGAGCAACAACATCAAGAAATATGAGAGCCGTCCGCCAATGGTCCAAGAGTTTAGATGAAACGCTACAGCAGACATTTCGGGAAAGGGAAACTGCAGTTCTTGAAGGGCCGGCGATTGGACGGCGATTGGACCTACATCAACTTACCTATGCGACATACATGAAGTATCATACTGCTGCAGCGGAAGTGTGTGCGTATGTGATTCATAAATGTCATATGTGATTTCACATTTTTTCTCATGACTCATGACCTTGACATACAGGGTTTCTTTAAAGGACGGCAAAAGGGCTATCCACCCACCCATGTGTAAACATTTTTTCAAGCATAGATCATAGATCCCAAAATACTGTGAACTCCATGCAATGATACAGACTCATCACAATGGCGCAAACAGACTTCCAAAGTGTTGAGAAAGGGGTTGGACGAGGCTGCTCAAGCAAGTCTTGCTGAACGTTCCGTAAAGCTGGCATAAGGCTTGCGCGAAAGGAACACCTGTGTTCTTCTGTGCAATCAGGAAGGCCGGCGGAAGGAACCTAAAAAAAGACGTTTTTGGATAACCCCCAATCTGAGGTTCCTTCAACTTTTTGCGATCATCACAAAAGCTGAGTGTTACAGCACACTTGCCGCGGATGCTCCAAACCAACCACAGGATGTTCTCAAACTGGCCGTTGAATACGACGGCCACACATTGAACTTTTTCACCGAGCCTCACACACAGACATATACATACGAACGTACGTCGTACGAACGACAGACAGACAGACAGAGACAGAGACAGAGACAGAGACAGAGACAGAGACAGACTGACTGACTGACAGACTGACAGACTGACAGACTGTACATACCTACATACGTATGACAAAGGCGCATACGGCTAATATTATCATGCATTATATAATCGAAAAGAACTTCAATGGGCAGCACGGTGTTGCACGGTGTTCAGTGGGCCTGCTTTTGCATTCTTATCGAGATCCACTCTACGGCCACCAGGAACACTCCGATTTTTGCATCCAGAGATTTTGTGCCAAGGACATCACCAAGCCAGCCATGGCAGCTCTCATAAGCCGTCACGCTCGAAGCAAAGAACCAAGGGAACTGGAGGAATCCTTCCATAGCTGGCTGGCAGATTTGCAAAAGCTGCAGGAGGTGAGGATCAATCATCAATGATGGGAAGCCTGAGCTTTTCTGCGTCCTTGCAATTAGCAGGGCCTAGTAACTATTACTACTACTACTACTACTGCTGCTGCTGCTGCTACTGCTACTGCTACTGCTACTGCTACTGCTACGGCTACTACTACCATTACGACGACGACTACTACTGCTACTACTGCTCCTCCTGCTCCTGCTCCTGCTGCTGCTGCTGCTCGACCTGTGATGGCCGACCTACCCCTAAGAGAATCGACTATATGACTATGACTATATTAAACCATTTGCTAGTTGGATCTTTTGGTGTTCTCGTTTTGAACCATGCAAAGGCTGTGGACCTTCAATATGGCCGGCAACGGCAATCCTATAGAGACCTTCACTTAGTGCAGATTTTGACGGACTTCCTATTGCCACTTGCGCTTCTTTGTGGGGCGGGGGTAGGCTGGGGAGCTGGCTTGAAGAACCTTTGCGCGGTCGATGTCGCTTAGGATAGTTAGGACAGGATCGGAGGTTTTATACAACTAAGAAGACATTAGAAGACCTCTCTTTACTTCCTTCCGTTGCCCGTGTGCTTCACCATTTTGTCAAATGCATCGTCTTTGTTTCAGATGGTCGATGGATGCCTGTCACGCAGCCCCGGTCAGTCACAGCCCCGAGTCACCCACCTCGAGCAAACACGCCCATCAGGAGGTTGGATCCACCACACCCAATCATCACATGATTCCAAAAGGCTTGTCAGGCAATCTTAAAACAACAGCTTCTGGACAAGTGAGGGCTTGGATGTCAATTTCCATCTACAGAAAATGAAGAACAACATGGCAGAATGCACAATGTAGAAGGTTGCGGCCACACTCACTGGGACCCTGCAAGCGATATAAAAGGCATCCATACAAAGTGCGCAGCAACAGAACAATCTTCCCTTTTCCCGTTTGATCCTCTTCGGCCTGTGTCAAGCTCAGGTTCTCTCGTTTGTTGCGCTGGCCCAGGTTCTTTGCACGTGACCAAGTGCGGACAAGTGGTGTACACGGCTGTATGAGACCAGAGACCAAAGTTGGCAGTGCGTGGCTAGACCAGGTCAGGTTTTTGGCAACTGCAAGGCGCTTGCCCGAAATGTGACTCAGACTTCAACTTTGCCAGCTTTGCTGCTTCGTTTTGGTTTTTATTAATGTAATTTTAGGATTCCTGGCGTCCCTTATCATTGCCACATGGTGCCTTCTCCACGATACCTTGCGATAAGCGCTGGCAAGGCACGGCGAAGTCATGTTCAACCGGGCTTTCAATGCTATAGCTGCGTACATGCATGGCAACAATACGGGTGCTGAGCCTGCTGAGCCCTATGAGTGCCTGGTTGCTGCAATGATGTCCAGCTTTTGCCAGCAAGCAGCCGCGGAAAAGATCAGTTTGGAGGAAGCAAGATGAAGACAGATGCACCCACATGGCATAATTGAAAAGGTGCTTTGCCCACCTGCTTCAACATTTACCATTACTCCTGCTGGACTACGGAAGGCTGGACTCCTGTGGTTCAGGTGGCAGGGGGTGGGCCGACAGCAAGACGGTGGGTGCGGTGGCGCTGGAAGACGAGCTCCAAGACAAGACGAACCAGGTTCGGCGAGGACAGCAAGCCTTCCAAGACCAAAGCGGCAAAATTCACCGCAGGGCTGCGTAAGCCAAGCCGCCAGCCAGTGTGACGACTCACACTTGTTGCAAATGTTTTCATGAAAAAGATCGTACGTCTCTGAGAGAGTGTCAAGCTTTCACACATCATCATGGTTTCACAAAAGTAAGGTGCAGCACGGTCACCCACAGCAAGGTCTTGCTTTGCTGGCAATTGCAATCCTTATTTGCGGTAACACGCGGTAACTCTGTGTGACAAATGGCGCATGTGTGATTTGGAGAGAGGTGCTTGCTTCCATTTTCAGTCAGGAGTATTTTCAGTGGCTGCGACTTCAACTGCTCGCAGCTTTGGCAGAAATTAGAGCATCATGTAAGCCCAGCAATCCCAGAAAGCCACAAATATAAGAAGTGCCTTACTTACTAGTAGTAACAAGGACGCTACTAGGAACAAGTGCATCGCTTCTAGTAACAAGTGCCTTATTAGTAGTAACAAGTGCCTTTCTAGTAGTAACATCCACGAGGCATCCCTACCCGACTTTGTGAGCAGACGGGCTAAAAAAGAGCATCCCTTCAAGCAGAAAATACTTCAAAGTCTCTCCGGTTGAGTCAAAGTCCTCCCGTCAAGGATCAGCGTGCATGACCCCAACCTGCTCCTCCCGGGGGTGTGTTTTGGACAACCCATTCACTACCAGATATGATAATCCTCAAGTGGTGTGCAAAGCCACCAGGACATACGGGGCAGTGCGAAGGAAGCAACATGCATCAACATGCATTGTCAAAACCCGAGTGGCCCTAGCCCTAGCGGCCCTAGCCCTAGCGGCCCTTTACCAGCCTTAGCTTTTCGAAGGCTTTGTTAGGCCAGTGATTGTGGGGCACCGGCCAAACAGAGAATTTAGAGACTTCCTGATCGCGTATGTGGCACCGTGCCATGGGCAGACTGAAGAAGCCCACGTCGGTTAATGATTCGCTGAAGGATTCGCCCAAGGCTTACACAAAAACCTTTTTGGTGCACATACAGTTTGCCGCCTTTAGATCGATTCCGGCCAGGCAGATATGGCACTCCAACAAGGGTTGCATTCTCAACTATGTTGAAGACCAGTCATGTCTGGAGCAATCCAATCAAATCATGTTATATATATATACGGTTTACTTCCTCGGGTCAAAAAGATGAGGTATCAAGAGATATTGCGAACTAGCCCCACTGAACGCGGAGTCGAGATTGAAATTCGACGCAGCCGCTGGGAGATCTTGAAGATGCTGCACAACATGAAGCGCCCTGGCAGAAGTATGAAAACAACTGACTGGTGCGACTCGTAGGGAACAAGGGACGTTTTGCTCCGAGTCCAGGGTCTCCTTGGGAACCAGCCACCCTCGGCCACCCTACTTTCGTCACACTGGCGGAGGGCTGTCCGGCACGAGAGAGGCGCTGATCAGAGCTGCGCAGGGCAGTACTGTTTCGCGATTTGAGCGGTCAATGGCTCCATGGTGTGTAGCCCTCCAATGAGCCTTCCAAGTGGTTTATGGAGGGGGGGAAAAACGAGCTAGCAGCTAGAGTCCATACCCAGCTTTCTAAGAAACAAGAGACGTCGACAGACTCTGGGTAAAACCACTTTGGAGGGTTGATGCACACTCACAGTTCCGTAAACCCGAAAGGTGCCACTTGGCATTGATATATTAGGGAAAGACGTTGGATTGTGCAAATTAGAGGGAGTCCATTTCGGGGAGCTTTGCAGCCGCCGTGCGCCTTACATTTCAGTCATAACCTGAGGCTGTGGCAACGTGCCAACGTGCTGCATCTCTCACTTGTCCACTACTCCAACGACTTTGATGCAACAGTGAAGTGCATGCTGACATTTTTTTTGGAGGCGTGTTCGGAGGGAGCAATAATAACCGACAACCTCAAGAGTGTGATGTTTGATAGGATGCATATTCCGCAGGGTAGCCCACCCTTCCCCCATCCCGCGCAGGGCCGGCAAAAATTGGTTCATGGTAAGAAGATGCAGGCGGCGTGCGAGTGAGCGGAGGAAGGGTGGTGGCCTGTGGAGTGCTGAAGCATCCTGGGTCCAGGTTCAGTCAATGGACACATTTGCGCTCGTGCAGCGGTTGCATTTGGAATCACTAGAATATGCTAGAATGTTTCTTGCTCATTGGAGCTTCAAGGTACTGTGTGTATGTCTTTGCCTAGACTTGGTTGGGTATCAGTAGCTGCTGCAACATCAAGAGACTCCAGCAGCTTGTAGCAACATCAAGAGGCCTTGCTGGCAGCTGCACGTGCAGCTGGTCTACGATCCAAGCTTTACAAGAAAGACCTGCAGCAGGTGCTTCAAGTCGAGGCTGGGCCAGCTTGCACTGTACCTAAGGCTGACCTAAGGGTTTGGCCAACGAAATGAGTCAAGAGCCCCAACACCATGTACGTAGCAATGTAACAAACAACCTACAGGTCGACCAGTCGGTATCCAAGCCACGGCGAAAATGCCTCAAAGGATCTCAAAGGTTTTTCAGGAAACACTGCAACCCTGGCCTCCAAACAAATGATCCTTTCAACGCCTGGCATGGTGCCAACTGCAGGAGCACTTGTGGATGCTGGCGCTTCAGGAGACAGACATGAGTGGTTGGCTTTCGGAAAGAGTGGCGAGGAACCTCTCCGGCTCCTTTTCTAAATGCCATTATACGCACACACACTTCGACACTTGTATTCAGTTAACTCAATTCCCCGAGGAAAGGAATGGCTCAACGGCAAGGTGAGGAGTCCGATCAATTGAAGGTGTTTCAACAAATAGTTTGTGCGCATCTGCAGACTCGCGACAGCAGCGGACGAGCGGCGGACGGCAGCTGAAACCGAGGGAAAAGGGTTTAGGGGAAGTAGCATGAACCACCATGGAAACAAACAAAGAAAGAGTGGAGTGACAGCTTGTACAACAGTTCGGCAGGTACGTTTGCAGCCCCCCCCAGTGGCCTCTTCGTTGGCCATCCGCCACTGGGGAGGGGGATGGCCCCCTGCTGTGAAAAAGGTAGAAGTTGGCAGTGAACCCTTTGGCACAGGGGTTGACACACACACACACGCACACACTTAGTCACAGGTTCATCCAGTATCATAGTCCACAGTGAAAGGGACGAGGGAACGTGAAGGAGTCAGCGCACTTGGAATGTTTAACACTTGGTTCACTTGTTTGCAGAAAGCGGCGGTGGCTCAGCAGCAACTCTGCGGGGGGAGGTTTAGGGGAATAGCATGAAAACCACCATGAAAACAACAAAACCGCGGAGGGAGAACCATTGGAGTCGGTGTGTTTGTGCAGGTACACTTACAGCCCTCACCAGTGGCCTCTTGGGTGGCCCTCCACCACTGGTGAGAGGGATGGCCCTCTGCAGATGAACAGCCCTTAGAAACAGGGTTTGACACACACCCACAGACACACATGTGGCCGCTTCGCGGCGCTCCCTCGCACCGGCGGTGCGCACGCTGGCCGGAAACCTGAATAGCTGCCTAACAAGCCTTAAAAAAGAACGGAAAAAGAAAAGCAACAGCAAAAGGAAAAGGGCAAGAAAGATAGGAGTATAGGGGCACGCATGTCTGCCGAACGAACGGCAAATTACGGAGTCCAAGCCTGAATAGGCACCAGACAGAAGGAGAAAACGCAGAGGGCAAGAGAGAAAGGTAGGTGTAGTTAAAAAGGTAAACTAGTTACTGAATCCTTAGCAGTCTTTAATTGTGTGCAGTAGTTAGGGAGCGGGACTTTTAGTCTTAGACCGCCCGGGTAGAGTAGACTAGAACAGGGACAACAGAAGGAAAGGCACCGACACACAAGTGTGTCGAGTACCATTTCCTTCCGTTACCTTTATTAGAACTAGAAGTAAAACGAAAAACACAAAACGAGTGGCAGGGAAACGAGCCTCAAGAACAACCTAACAAGCCTGAAGAAACACCCAACAAACGAAGAAACCGCAAGAAGGAAAGAGGCGAGGGGGTGGGGGTGGGGGTTCATTCTCCGTAAGCCCGGCGGCATTTAGCCCGTGAGCTCGGCGGCATTGATTCATGGGTGAAACAATTCAATCCAACATCAGAACCCCAGAACTCAAAAACGCAAAGTCCATTTGTGATACACCGTGGTTTCGGCGTTATTGCGGGGACCACACTGCGCACCGAAGTGGGAAAGCACAGCGATATACACTTAGTCACAGGTTCATCCAGTATCATAGTCCACAGTGAAAGGGACGAGGGAACGTGAAGGAGTCAGCGCACTTGGAATGTTTAACACTTGGTTCACTTGTTTGCAGAAAGCGGCGGTGGCTCAGCAGCAACTCTGCGGGGGGGAGGTTTAGGGGAATAGCATGAAAACCACCATGAAAACAACAAAGCCGCGGAGGGAGAACCATTGCAGCCGAGTAGGGGCAGCAGATGAAAGATGGCATGTAACTTTTCCGAAGGAAATCATACACGGCACACCCTATTTAGTGCAAACCGTGTATTGGTCAGCTCAACAAAAAAACATCCCCCATCCAGGAAGAGCACCGCTTCTTGGCAGATGCTGACGCCCTGTATGATCGACTGATGATACGAGGCTACAGGGAGAAGGTTTTGATCAATGATACAGTTCATGATGTGTCCTTTTGGCCTTTGTCAATTGCAACCCCTGTTTCAGGTCAAAAGGAGATGGCACGCTTGGGCTGTCCGGATTGGAAAAAATGGGTGCCAGCTGTGAGCAGGGTTTTGCCTTGGATCGCAAGTGCGGTGCATTGCGTAGGGCTTGAACTTGAAAGACCAGCGACATTGATGAGGGCTTTCGCGCAATATTCCGTTGTAAGACAGTGTGACCGTGGCATGTTTTGATTGTTGATGCTGAGTTGCTCCTTTGTCAATTGCCCTTCGCCCTTCGTGTGTGGCAGCTTATCGCATCCGCGCACAGCCCACCTTGTGTTCCCTGATCCCAGGCTTTGCGTGCAGTCCAGCCGACGTGATTGAAAGCTGGTTGGCACACGGCATCGACACTGGCACACTGGGTACATGCTGCAACCATGTATATAGTTGTTCCGATTCCAATTAAAATCTGTGATGAGCCGCTTGCTTTCGCCGATGTTGGGTGATGTGATGTCAACCGCTCAGAAGAGTCTCAGAAGCAAGAAGCAACCAGAGTAGCGCGGCCTGTGAAAACAGCAGCTACAATATGACTGTGCCAGATGCCCTTAGTTCCTGTGGATGCACTTTTGCTGAGCCCCGTGCCAAGAAATGCCGTGAAGCGGTTGCGTAGATGCAGACGAGTCTGCTTATATATTTTATCATGTTTGATTTACCCCTCACGGGTTCCATGCAGATACAGTCACAGAGTTCACGCAGCTCCGCACAACTAAGTACTAAGGGGAGGAGTCGCATTTCATAGCTACTACTACTCACTGCCTGTCCAGATGATAGGATGAACATTAACAACCATCCACGAGAGTCAACAACCAACCTGCTGCCAGCTTCAGGCGGCTCCATGGGGCTTACTGCAGCTGCGGCCAGTTTGCTACCTGCCAGGGCTGCCTGGAGTACTGAACAGAAGTCTTAAGTGAGTAGTGAGGCAACCGCTTGATTTGTTAAGTGAGGTTCTTATTACCTTGAGTTTCATCTTCGGCTTTAAGTACTTGCTCTGTCCAGAGCTTTCTTGCTAATCACTGCTGGTCCTTGTTGCTAAGATTGCTGGCTTTGATGGGCACCAGATTGCGTTGGAGACCCAAGTGCCCGCTCTGTTTCCTTGAAGACGCCCTAAGTAGCGTCCTAGAGTCCTAGCATGTTCTAGGTTGGGAAGCTACTTAAGCTCAATAGCTTGCCTACTTAACCTTACTTAAGCTCAATAGATTGCCACCTCCCTAATTGAGTTAGGACAACTATGAGGAACGTCAATTTTTGGGTCTGAAAAGCAGAAGTTCCTAGGACATTTGGCCCGACCAAAAATGGGTAATTCACAAACGTTATGGCCGACATCAGCCGACTGTGAATGCTTTTTTCGCATTGAGGCGAGCTGCATTTGGCGCGTCGAACGCGAACACCCTGGAGTTTCTGAGTCACAGGCTAAGCGGAGTTGAAAACGCTTGGACGTTACTGAGTCAACATCCCGGAGGGTGTTGAGCCGAAGTGAGCCTGTGAAGTGAGATTCAGAAGTTGCACTTTCTCCAGCAATATAAATACTGTATATAAATAAACACATACATACATACATACATACATACATACTTACTTAATTACATGCATACACACATACATGCATGGCTCAAGCCGCAAGTGCTCAAACCGGCTCCCCACGAAGACCGGTTGGTGCGGATTTCCCCACTCGAACATAGTTCCGCACTACCACATCGAGCGCGGCCCATCTTCAAGTTCGATTAGAACACATTCTTTGCCCGTGATATTTGACCCCCTCGACAGCTTTCAAACCGAGCTCTTTGGTGGCTGGCAGTTTCTCGCCTGGCTATCACCTGGGGAAGGTGGAGGTCACTGGCACAACACCACAGTCACCAACTCAGGCCTGATCGCAGAGCGCGACCCGCCCCTTGCCCTCATCAAGACCGGCAAGCAAGGCCCTTGAGGTCCAACGGATCCAGGACAATGACACCATCCTGGTGCAGAGCCTACACTGTCTGCAGCAAGAGTTCATGCCACAATTGGATATGGCAAGACAAACTCCAACCAGGAACGCGATGCCGCCGATGTGGAACGTGGTGGCCAACCACTCACACGGCAAACCAGCCAACAAAGCCCAAACCAGCAACCAGCAATGGCTTGAACCACCACCAGGCCTTCAAGGTCAAACCGCTGAAACGCTCCAAAGTCCAACAGGAGGCAACTGAGCTCCTGTCCACGGCCTGGTCCAGCCTATCTGATGACGCCCAAACCAAGCTGCAAGCCTTGGGTATAGGACCAACGAAACCAGAGGAACCAGAGCTCAAAGATGTCCTTCGATCTCACATGGAAGCTCTTCCTCAGCAGGTGCAAGACCTCGTCACGAAGCTCACCACACCAGAGCCTTGCACGGAGCGATAGATAGCGGCTAAACTTAAAGGTCAAGTCACTGAGTTGAAGAACATGTCTATGAAGAAGGCTCAACTACAGGCAAAAATTGATCATGTCAAGTCCCAGTATGCTGCACTCCTCAGTGACATGCAGGAACTCCAGGTCAAGCTCGCAGACGGCCAGAAGACCTTAAAGAACCTGTCAGAGGACTACATGAAAGCGGTTAACCAGACTCCCACGCCAGCTGAGCTGACTGAGCCAACCGGGGAAACCGAACAAATGCCAATGGCGGTTGAATCCTTTGTGCATAGCCTGGGCATCTCCCTCACGGAAGAGCAAAAGACCCAGCTCCATGGGCTTTTGAAGAGGCCCAATCAAGATCCTGACGACAAGACTAAGCGCGGGAAAACTGATGCCACGGCCCAAGCCCTACCAGGACAGTGTGGGTAACATTTCAAGGAGCATGCTAGAGGGGTGGACTTTCCCAGTTCCGGACGATGACAACTTGTCATGTGAAGGCTCTGAAAGTCCAATCATGGGGGCACAGTTTGAATGGACATCGACCTTTGAAGAGGCATCCATGCCACCAGCAGTGCTTCGACAACCAACACCGGTTTGCCGTGCTGCCTCAGGCTCAGATGCCACCCAGGGGCACTCAGTTGAACCGTGTGCAGGGGACCAGACACATGCCACGACTGACCAACTACCTTTTTCTCGGGAGCTCCACACCACCAATGACGGGGACAGGTCATTCACTGGTAGAGGAGAGCAAATCCTTTTCAATTTTGATGAGCCACCAAATCACTGCATTTTTGGCAACGCTGCTGATCCGAGGGGATGGCAGTGCTTTTGTCCACATTCGTGGAGGTGCAACTGAGACCACAGTGAGCACTACGGCCACCCAACCAAGGCAGTCAACGATGCAAGACTATGCCACCTCTACTGATTGCATCCTCCAGAACCTCACTATGGCAGTGGGCAATCCAAGTGCGAGGTGCTACGCCGATGCACCTTGGAGAGCCTTTACCTGGGTATGTCTTTGCTCCAGGAGACAAGCACACAACCATGGGGCACCCTGCAAGACGCTGTTCAAGAGTCCATAGACACTGCGGAGGCCGTTGACATCCACAGTCTACCTGGACTCCACGAACTATGGAAACAGCATGACCTAAACGTCCAGGGAGATGCCAGCCACTTCGCGAACTCATTGTGGCTTCTATCCCAAAGCAGAGCCTTCCACTACCGATTTGCTGAGATCAAAGAGGGTGGATACCTCACAGACCACGTCCAACAGCCCATCCTGGTTCCATACCTAGACGACTGGCCAGAAGATGTCACCTTCCAACAGTTGATCAACAACTGGGCCAACCAAGGCTTGGGACAATACTTGATGGATGACAAAAAAGTGGTGATTTGCCATGTCACCAGGAAGATTTGTATCAATGGCACCATGACCAAGCACAGCAAGCCCTTCAATCCGTATGGCAACTCTACCATGCCGAGATCACTGGATGGCTTTGCTCGCACTTCCACTGAGTTTGTGCCTGCAGTTCTGATCTGCCATAGGGGCCAAACTCATCAAGAGGGCCACTACTTTGCCATCCTCATCTATCGCGATTTGATGTGGTTGGCAGACGACGGCAAGGTTCCCACCCACTTGCCCCATCTGACGCCAAGTCAGATCACGCAAGTCTGGGCTGTCAGCCTGGACGCTTTCAAGGCACCACAGCAGGTGCTGCAAGGATTACCACCTCCTGAGGAGCCGGACTATGATCCTCCACTGCACCCCAGCCCAACAAAGAAAGCCAGAGTTGAACAAGATCACAACGTCCTCCACTTTGGGTCACCAACATGGGTCGACAAGTCATTGATTGGTACTGGATCAGAGACAGTGGGATATACATCTTTGCTGAGACGCACCTGGACCCACAGAAGCACTGTGAACTTTGCTCGTACTTCACCATTCGAGGCAGAACAGCTTTTGGCACCCCAGCCTCTCCCAACCAAGATAACACAGGCACACATGGTGGCCTTTCGGTTTTAGCTGATCCTGCGTGCGGCCTCGCGGAGTTTGAAGCCTATTTTGGTGATTGGACTATATCTACGCACAGGGGAGACACTGCAAAGTGAGACAAACTCCACCATCATTGGACAGCTGCTAGCACTTTTGACATGTGGTAATTGGGGTCTGGCAGAACCATCCCGACAGTCTGGCCACCACTGTTCCAATTTGGCATCCTTGCTCCTGATCACAGTGTCCTTTCCGGCAATGTCATTGACTTTGGCATCCTCCACAACACACTTGCGGGCACGACCTCCATCACCACTGACTGGGCAGTGCCATGGCGCCCACATGCCTTGTTGAAGCTCAAGTTTGACATTGAGGCAGCCACCAAAGAATACCGCCAGATGCAGTACTTTCCACCACTACCAAAGGCTTGAGCTCTATATGGCAACCCACCCAATGGGCCAGCGCAAGAGTGGGCGGACTGGATCTCCAAGACTGAGCAGTATCTTTTGCAAGAACATCCGTGGGCTGTTCAAGGACGTGGCTCAAACCATCCCAAAGGCCAGACGGGAGCAACCGAAGGCTCGCTTCCAACTTGCACTACAACAACCTGACACCTGCTGAAAGGGCCGAATCAAAGGATTCATGCAAAGCACCGGGGATGTCCACCAGCATTGGATGGGTCCCACTGGCATCGCTACGGAGACCCTCATGCGGCTGAACTGATGATCCAAACGATGAATCACCAACTTCAAGAAGCGCAACAAGCTGCCAATGATGAGACCATGCTCCAATACAAACATTAACTGCAAGAGGACCATCAAAAAGGGCTCAGGGGTTTCTTTAGAAGCTTGAAAAGATGTGAGCTTGCTTGGGAGCGCCCATATCGCCAGACACCCATGCCACAACGGATGGACCAGCGCCTCCATGACTGGGGAGGCCTTTGGCGCATCAGGCAGGACAACAATCCCTGTCCCCGACCTAGCCTCCAGCAAGCAGCACAAGCAGGCACAACAACTGGAACCCCTGACTCCAGGCCAGCTCAGTCGCATCCTCAAAGCGCTGCCGGACAAAGCCAGCGGGCCTGATGCAGTTTCCACACAGCTCCTGAGAAGCATTCCACCACTGGCCTTGGGTCCACTGCTACAGCTCTATCACAAGATGGAAAGCACGGCTGAGTTGCCAACCCAGATGCACCTGGTTGTGATGCTACCCAAAAACCAGAAGCTGGACCCATCACACTAACATCCGCCCTTTGGCGAGAAAACCCCTGCTGGATCAGTGGCAGCAGAAGCTACCAGCCTACATGGATCACGATCGCGCCCGCCCGGGTGCCAATGTGCTTCACGTGGCATTGGAAAGATTGCTACGTCAGGAAGTGCACAAGGCCAGACGACAGCATGGAATCACCGTCTTGATGGATATGTCGACTTTCTACGACGCTATCCAGCTTGACAAATTACAGGCTGAAGCACTCAAGCTAGACTACCCACCCCTGCTACTTGAACTGGCCATGCAACTCTACTGTGGACGGGCGGAGCGCATCCTGGCTCATGATGAAGAACCTCTATGGAGTGCGGGATGGATACACTTGAGCCACAAGAGCACCGCCAGATCCAACACCGTACCAAGGACATGGTACATGGCATGATCTTCAGGCCCCATCAACATCAAGGGTGGGCGTTCACATTGGGTGGAACTCCATCCACCTACGACCAGCGCAGCCAGGTTTGGGTTTTTGGCCTTTGCGCGCATCACATGGCCCTAGGTCAGCTCCAACGGCTCGGGGCCCTCACCGGCATCCCCAACCAGCCCCACACCAAAACCAGGGCTCTCATTGCTGGCCTTGTGGCGTTGGCCAAACATACCGCAACACCTGTGAGAGTCATCGTCCAGCTGGCAGCTGTGTGGGAAGTCTGGACCCAACCGAGGCATAGAGGCCCTTTTCAGGACTTGCTCGAACACCTGACGGAGCAAGACTTCACTAGAGCGACGGTCCTCTATGTCTGCCGCAGCACACGCACACCAGAAGCACCAGGCAATGAGCCCCAGTCACGGACACCAACACAGCACAGATGGGCACCACACCGCAGTGGCCACCAAAAGGGTCGAGGGGGGCAAAAGCCCATCGAGTGGCCATCTCCTTGACCTCCTTGTGCACCTTCAAGGGAGGGTCGGTGTTGCGTGACCGCAGGGCTGCTAGCTGTCTGTCTGATCGGGCGAGTGTCATTAGACATCGGTGTGGCTCCGTGATTTGTTCCATAGTTGCTGGAAGTTGCTCTATCTGTCGCTTGACAGCCGCTCGACCTGGGAGCAGCAACTTCTGGGTCCCAGTCCTTGAGGAGAGAATGCAACAGGAGTGCCCACAGCTCACCCTTGAAGACCAGCCGGAGCCGCCCAGTCCCCATCAAGCCCTGCCCAGAAAGATGACAAGACAACAGGTCATCAAACAGATCCTAGCAGCGCAGCTGAAACACCTCCAACTGACAGGCATAGACTGGAGGAAACAACAGAGTACATTCGCTGTGAAAGATGCGGATGTAGTGTCCACAAGAGGATGAAGCGGCCTTCCAGGCTTTCGTGACAAGCCCATGCCTACAACCAACCTCATGAAGGGCACTCCAGTCACGTCCTATCGCAAAAAGGGAGAAAGTAAACTGCAGGCAGTGTGGACACCGGGTGATACTCACTGGAGCCATACGCAGACAACGCAAGGGAGCAGCCATCAGTGGATCACCGCCACTCACGGAGCTCTTTCGCAGACAAACTGAGCAGGCCACACAAGACAAGGCAAGCGAAGCAGGACAGCAAGGCCTGCAAGGCCAACTTGCGCCAGGGGAGTCTGAGGATGCCAGTGGACAGGCAAAAGCCTCCAAGCCACCTGCCTCCTACAGGACTAGCCCAAGCCCTGATGGCCCACATGGCAGGCCCACGCCAAGGAGGTTGCATTTTCCCACGGCACTGGATGAGCCAGCTCAACTTGAACAAGCCCCAATGCCTGTGGAACAGACCACACCGGCACGAACAGAAGAACCGGCTGCTGAAGTCTACATGCACGGAGACTACTTCTGAGCCGATGAGACATTGAGGCACCAGGCCTAGATAGCCACAACGGCAAAGAGAGCCAAACTCAACTTTAGGAAAAAATACATACATACATACATACATACATACATACATACATACATACATACATACATACATACATACATACATACATACATACATACATACATACA